ATAATTATCATTTATTTTAACTTCTATGAATAACGACTGTTTCTTTCGTATTAAATCATGATAAATTCATTTCAATTTATGTACATTGATTTTAAAAGGGTGTATTAATATAAGCTTGTATAGCTGCTTACTATCAATTTGAAGAATCGTACAGTCGATGTTTCCATTTTCATGAATTCAGAAAAATCGTCGAAATAGATTTTATCCTAAAAATAATACACACTCGAAAGTCAACTAAGTTCTCAAGATCATACGAGTCGAATTTTCCACCTATAGATCTAAAAGATCCTTCTTTAGAAATAAACATTAACAATAACGCACGTGAGTATATATTTATCGTATACAGTAATATATTTTATTATGATATAATTTGAATACATAAATTTTATATATTATAATGTTTCCCAATATATTTATGTAGGCAATATAAATTTATATATGCCAGTTAATATTTTTATATTTAGATCTTTGTTTATATATGAACATTCATTTTTTTAATATTATTTCAAAGTTCACGTTCGTCGCGAACGAACAAAAGTCCCTCTCGATTTGCAAAAATCATACGAATCTAAAATTTTCCACGTATGAATATGTGAAAGAGCTCGCGAGATAAATTTTATCTCTGAAACGCTCGGAAGTTTGCACGGAACGTGGATTCAATTCGGTTAACGATTCATTTGAAACATTTTTCAGCTCCTCGCCGCGCCATCAATTCAGCCGGAATAAATTTAGACTACATTTCAAGGAGCATTCATCTCCCGCGCAATTTCGATTTCTTGTCGAATCTCTCGTCTCGAACTTTCCATTCCATCCGATGAATAATAACACAAAGGGAAATTATCCTCTACTCACTCGAGGAACTTTGTTTCTAATCAATCTCGCGTCGCAGCCAAGATCCCTTTTGCCACCTTTCCGCTCTAGATCTCTTGGTTTTCAGCATCGCTCGTCAAAACAGCGCCGCTTGCGGTCAACCAGCCCCGGCAAGATTTACGACGAGAAGTTTGTTAAATCAACGCATCTGTCTCGCGAAACTTATTACCAGCGTCGATGGGCTAGAACGCGACGATTAGTGGAAGAATGATCGCATCGTAGCTTCGACCAGAGATATTTAAAAAAAAAAAATAATACACGCTTACGATGAAATTATGGTTAATTTTAATCCATGGTGGCTTCGGCAGAGGAGAAACTAGAAAATTTTGCGAGACTCTACGACACGTTCTTTCTCAGAAGTTTGGTTCAAACACCGTTCTAACTTTTCTTTGTAAAAAATATCTACTTGAGAGTTCCTCCTTCTTCTTTTTTTTTTTTTTTTTCTAACTTTCGCAGAACGTTTCTCGCGGATATCTTCTCTTGGAAATTTTACGTGGATTGTCTTTTGTAGCGCAGTCTTTTTCGGACTTTGTCAATTCTCTAAAGATTGAAATTAAATTATAAATAGACTGGGACATTTACGTTCTCTCTCTTTTTTTTTTTTTTTTTTTAAGAACTTCCAAGTTCTAAGATGCACAGAAGTATAAGAAAGTATGCAAATTAGAATGTTTATTACAATATTTACTGAATGGAACAAATTTTTATTTAATTCTTCGTTCCTTTAATTCAGTTTATAATAGTATAAAATTCCATAGATATTTGTGATGCTTTCATTTTCACACAAAACTCAAATTCAAAATGAAGTTTCTACTTAGGCCCACCAGGTTTATAAAAATATAAAATAGATGCGTAGATTTTATGTATAAATACGTGATGTTTAAAAGATTCGCTCCAATTTAAAGATATTACGATACTTTATTAATATATATATACCATGAACGTATGTTAAATAGCTGCATTCATTCAATCGCGTCTTTGTGAACTCGTCAATCATATTTGTCCTTGACAGAACAATGGATGAATGTCTCTAGATTTCAAAATGGGATCTTTGTCTTCATTTCACATCTCGCTTCGAGTGTTTTTCTCTCTTTTATTTTCTTCTCTCTTTTATCTCTGATTTTTAGTTTTAGATTTTCTCTTCGGTTTTTTCTCTTTACGTGCGTTTCATTCTGGCTGTAGTATGTATATTATTGCTGCGTAATGTACATGTACGTTATATGTACGCTCTTTAGCCAAGACAGAGTAAAACAAACTCTGGGATTTCCCCCTTGAAAGCCTTGAACGAACGAAACTCGCAGTGGCCTACGTTGAATTAACTCCACTCTCTACACGGGCCGTCATTCTAATAGTCGTGGACGCGACACAGTCATTCATCAATCATTTGTTTTCACAAGCAGAATTTTCTTCGGTTACGAGAAAAATGTAATCATAATAAATTAATTACTTGCTCACAGAAATAATTTTCACTTATTTTTATTTATTGAAAATTTGCTTGACACGACAATTGTCGAGAACGTTTTAAGAAACAGGGAGACATGATATCATTTTAAAGTTTCTAAAGACACAAGACGTAATAGAAACTAAAGAAAACCAGTAACTGTGAGTTATCATTGTTTATGATTAACTTTTCAACAGATACTCGTATTTTTCTATGGTTGAACGATGCGTATTTCTGTGCAAATTGCTGTATCATCTCTTAAAAATGTACGTTTATCGTGCGGCGGAGTTTACGATCTCGCCACATCTGTTCTGTCGGCTATAATTATATTTCATCAGCTCGTCGACAACTCTACCAGGAAAAATTCTCTGTGCCACGGACGCAAAATAGCCGATTTTTTATGGCTCGAGGGAGACTTAATTTATGGCATTCTTAAGTGTCTGTTCTGTGCCTTCTCTTCCTTGGTACATATGTAGCAGCGTATAATGGAAAATTAAACGATCATTCGAAGTCTAGTCGAAACCTCACGTTATCGTGCATGTGGATAATCCAACTCATGAGGTTTCATGAAGGGTCAAACGATTTCTCCTTTGCAATTAAACCAGAACCTCTTGCCATCGCTAACGTATTTGTGTCATCGTAATAGCATTTAACACAGAACAGATCGATCGGACCGTTTGATCGAGAAAAGCGGTTAGAACCCGCTAGAAAAATCAGAATTTTGATTATTTTCTATCTAATTTTGTTTCTTTCATAGTTCTTAAATTTCTCGTTATCCACGAAAATTATAGATGAGAATCGACAGCTTTTAAATGCGTGAAGTCTCATTGTCTCATCTTGTAATTTACTAATAAGGAGTTAAATTTTTTAATTCCTTTTTTAATAAACAACTTTACCTTTCATTGGCAATCCGAGTAACTCAATATCAAAAGAATAAAACACTTCTTCGAACTCGTGGTCTAGCTAATTCTTCATTCAAGTTCAACAAACTTTTGCACTTCTAAACTCTCTTTTTCCCTTTTGGAAAACCTCAATCTCACAGGGAAAATAAACCAATCATTTTCAAAATAACTATCGAAGCCGTGCAAACTTCGCGGCGCAGTGCAGAATACTTCGTTTATACGAACCAGCCAATGTTGAGCTTCAGATATAGTACCAGAACTCGTAACTGATCAATTTCTTATCTACCGTCTCTTATTATATAGAGATAAATAAGAGGAAAATATAGAGAAAGATTTATTATTCGAACTATCTCTTATTGTTATACTGGATATTTCTTATTATTATATAGATTTTTGTGCATTTTCAAATTTTCGTGAACGCCATTAACATCTTGCGCTGGATTGACGTATCACGCACGTTGAGAATATTTTGTCCCAAAACTGCAACATTTCCTCAGTTTTAAGTATATTTAAGTATAAGTCAGTCAAAACAAATAATGAATTTATTACTTCTTTAATATTAATTTCAATCCAATATCATACCGATGAGTTCAAAAAGAAAGCGACGAATTATCGTGTACGGTTTGGTCACTCGTTATGGTCCGCAATCAGTTGCCAGCGCAAGTAGTTAAGGAAACGGAATCTAGGAAAATTGTTTCTTTCATGTCAAATTACAATTGACACTCTTGTTCCGATATTTGATACACAATCTTTAATATATTTTATAATATTTGATACAAAAAAATATATTTAAAATATATTTAATATAATATAATAATATAATATAATAAAAAAATATAATATAATATTTCTATGATATTTGATATAAAAAATATATTTAAAATATAATATAATATAATAAAAAATATAATATAGTATTTCTATAATATTTGATATAAAAAATATATTTAAAATATAATATAATATAATAAAAAAATATAATATAGTATTTCTATAACATTTGATATAAAAAATATATTTAAAATATAATATAATATAACAAAAAAATATAATATAATATTTCTATAATATTTGACATAAAAAAATATATCATCTAGATAATATATTCTATAGAAAATATATTTTTGCACGAAAATATCTTTTGCATTGCGTGAACATTTTTGCAGCATAAAAATCCGCAGTTGAAACAAATAAAAGTAGGATACTGAGAGGGCTCTATTATCCGAATTGCTCTCGCTTATCTGAACGGTTCTGCTATAAAACAATAAAGTAACTCGAACGATCGAGCACATACGACTCTTAACACACGTTCGCGTACGTGAATGCTATATTCATTCATTTTCGTGGTGACGCAATATGACATGAATTTCATCTGTATCGACGTGGACGCTATAGCTATTAAAACGTGATATTCTGAGCACTCGGACAAAATGCGACTAATCGAAAATTTAGATATGACAATTAATTTAAAAATAAATCACCTCTATTTCTTTGCTCAGCCCGATGAAATTTTTACCGTCCACGAACGTGTCAATTAATCTCTGATCGTCCAAAAAGACTCGCGTGTCTCGCGACGTCATACGAAAGACCACGGAGAATCCCATGACGAAAGACGTCTGCAACAATTACTCGAAATTGCCAGTCGAACCCTCCCGAAGACTGACTCCGAACGAATCTGACGTCACTGTATCCGGAAAGCGTGTGTTTGCATAGGCGCGATTCCGCGGAGAGGATACGCGCCGTGGCGACACGGTAGCCAACCAGCCGGAGTCGGGCCAGCGTTAAGTTTAGCCACTGGCTGGCAACGACAGTGTGTCAAGATCACTTGATCCCTCTGCCTCTGCCTTCACCTCGAACGCGTCGAGGGCCGATTGTTGCTTCCTCCGGCCAGTAGGAGAGGTTCAGCCCTCGAGTTCACAAAGCGGAGAATTTCGAGCGAAATCGAGAGAGAGAAAGAGAGAGAGAGACCCCCTCTCCCCTCCCTCAACCGTTCGGTAACACAGAGACGACACAGAAGAGAAGAGGATCTTATCCGAGGGAAGAGGAGGCGCCGTTTCTTCGAGAGGCAATCGAGTGTCGCGAAATCGATAGCTAGGCTTTTCGTGCGCACCGACGGATGTGATCTTGTTACACACACTTGGTACCGAAACCGATCGAAACGCGAATCGAAAGGTCATGGTGTCTGCCAGCGATTCGTCCCGTGGCTTCATCCCTCCCGTGGAGTTCGTGACGTTCGTTTGGGGATTAAGTGGCCTGTGAGGGTGAGACGAGCGTTCCGCGTTTGGTTAACGCTGGCGAGAAGGATTTTTGTGGCTAAGCTGTGACTTTCTAAAATTAGGTAAAAGCATGATTTGATGCATTTCAGTTGAGAGTGTCGGATTGAAAATATTTGCACGTTTCGTTCGGCTTGCGCGATGAACTTTTTTCGTACGAAAACGGTGACGGAAGAAAATCGTTGATTAGACAAAAGTATGATTTCAGTTTGAGCGAAGTGTTTTAGACATTCATTTCTAGCATTGTAGAGATTAAGTCTGAGCGGTGAACTTTTTTCACAGGAGAAAGAGTGAGACGGTTCGGTAAATGGTGTAAGGAAAATTTTTGTGGGTTGTCGATTTTTTTTTTTAAATTAGGCGATAGATGGAAAAGTCAAGATATGATTTAATAAATTTCAGTTCGAGGTTGCAGATATTTTGGGCGATTAAATGGTTCCATCAGTCTGTCGGATGGATTCTTTCATCTGAGATGGGTAACAAGGTTCTTCTATTTATAATTCAGTTATTTAATTTGAATTTTTAATTCGATAGTAAAATTAGTTGCACTGCAAAGGACCAGAGGATTAGATATTGCGAGAAAAAAAAAAAAAAACTCGAACGTCATCGGTACCAGTAAGATGAGAGATGCGAGAATACTAGAAAAAAGAAAAGCCAGGGTCGAGCAATTCGAACAATTGCATTAAATTGAGAAGTCATAGTTGAATTGAGTTCAGAAGTCACAGTTGAGTCGTAGACTCGTTGAAGCTAGTTTAATCGTATAAATCATCGAGATACTATCAAACATACGTTACACTATTTTAAAGTTGATCACTTAAATAGACGTTCAATATTAAACTGAACGCTTTAACAGAGCTTCTCTTTCTGGCATAAGAAGCAAACAGAAACATATTGTCCCTACGTTAAATTCCTACGTTTATTACACGTATATTTCTTTTTTCAAATTCCAATAATCCTTCAGAATATCCTTCGTTTTCATTCTTTTGATTACTGCCACTAGATGCGACATGTATGTACTTGGCTGTTTCTTTCGTTTCGTCGTTCATCCACAAAATAATTTGATCTTTTCCTCACACTTTTGTCCGTACAATTTTTCTCTTCGTCTCGTATCTCGTTCGAAACGTAAAACGACATGTCAAGTTCAAATTTCAGCTCGTAACGTTTACGGCTGGTGGAGAGAACCAGTCTCTCTCGCGGTGGGGCGAATACCCAATGATGAATTTCGCCCGGGTAACTTGTACACCCGTTTAATAACTAATCACGACGACCGCAGAATAGCCAATTAACTTTTAATTGCCACTACAGCCGAGCGCGACGAAGAACAACGGCCAGATTTACAGGTCTGGCGAATGTGATAATCGATCCCCCGCGTGCTTTATAAAACCGCGCCACTCTCCAACGCGGGCTAATCAATCTCTCCGTGCGTAAAAATCAATATACAAACACGTACCTTTCGAGAAAAAAAAAAAAAAAAAAAAAAATGAGAATAAAAGAAATTATCATTTCGTCTTACTATCCTTTCATCCTATCCTAACCTCGAAAAGGAAAAATAAGGAAGGAGAGAGACACGCGGGAAAAAATATATATATCGCGTTCGATCAAAATTCAGTGACACTGTCGTATAATATCGCAGACATTAAACCGGAGCCGTAGCCGGGGTCCGAGATGCTTCAGGAATAGCCGAGATGTGCTCCTCTGACGTGACACGAATGCCTAATAAGAATTTCCATCGGATGCAAAGTGCTCACACGCGTCTCGTTCGCGCGGCCACGGGATCCTCCGAGCGGAAGTAGAAGTACGACGCGTAACGCAGCTTCCCGGAACACAGAAACCGTTTAAACCGTTCCTCCAAACGTAGCAAAAATACGAGAGGAGAGGGTGTCCTCGTTTCCAGCTCGGTTCACCGCGCTTTTCCAACGACGATTGTGCGAATCGAACTTCCGCGTGGAGCTGGGAAAAGACGGACAAATAAAAATAAGGAATTTATCGATCGTATTAGGTCGGAATTTATTGGGATGAGAATTTATTTAGATATATCGCATGATATATATATATACATATATATTTTTGGTTTCTTATTTAGGTTTGGACTCTCTTTAGCTCAGTTGTTAATTTCGTTCAATTTTACTTTTACATTTCAATTTGAATTTAGTTGTTTATTCATAAATTTAGTTACTATATAATCAGCTTTTATAAATTATTTTATTATTATAAAAATTATAATATAATTAGCTTTTAATAATTAGGTTTTATTGTTATAAAAATTATAATAATTAAAATATAATATAATTAAATAAAATATTATATTTATAATGTAATATGATAAAAATTATAAGAATTATTATTATAAAAATATTATAATATTAATATAATATAATATAAAAATTAATTATATAATAACTAAGTTTATGAACAAACAATTAAATTCAAATTCAATATAATACGTTACATTAAATTATATTATAACAAGAAAAATTATAGTAGTTGCACGAATATACTGAATTCCCGTAAAGGTACCCCCATAAAATTACTAACAATAAGATTATTATAAAAACATTATAATATTAATTTAATATAATAATAAAAACTAATTATATGACAACTAAGTTTATGAACAAACAATTAAATTCAATATAATATATATTAAAGCATGTATTACATTTTATATTATAACAACAAAAATTATAGTAGTTGCATGAATATACTGAATTCCCGTAAAGATACCCCTAAAAAATTACTAACAATAAGATTATTATAAAAATATTATAATATTAATATAATATAATAATAAAAATTAATTATATAAGACCTAAGTTTATGAACAAACAATTAAATTCAAATTCAATACAACATATTATATTAAAGCATGTATTACATATTATATTATAACAAGAAAAATTATAGTAGTTGCACGAATATACTGAATTCCCGTAAAGGTACCCCCATAAAATTACTAACAATAAGATTATTATAAATACATCATAATATTAATATAATATAATAATAAAAACTAATTATATAACAACTAAGTTTATGAACAAACAATTAAATTCAATATAATACATTATATTAAAGCATGTATTACATATTATATTATAACAAGAAAAATTACAGTAGTTGCACGAATATACTGAATTCCCGTACCCCCGTAAAATTACTAACAATACGATTATATTACAATTTCGTAATCATTCACTCGAACGATAATACCACTGAAAAAAACCAATTGACCACTCGCGAATAGCAAATGATATTACAACATGGTACCGACCCCGGAACGAGAATTTTTTTCAACCGCTTCAGTTTCAAAATGATCCTCGACTGATCGCGTCTTCGGGAACGGTGGAGAACTATGGAGACTCTCGTCGAACGAAACGGGAGGAAACGCGCGAAACGAGAGAACGGAGAAAGCGAGACCGCGAAAGATGGAAACGGAGGCAGGCCGTTCTGCCGCCATTAGTTAGAACCGAAGAAGAACGAACCGTCGTAACGAAGAACATGTCCGTTTGATTGCAGGAGGATGCAGCCAGGAGCGACGGTGGTCCTGGCCACGGTCTGGCTGGCGGTGTACGCGAACCTGGTGGGGACACTCCGCATTAACTTCACCGCCGATCAATACTCTCCTTTGGCCCCGCAGCACCAGCGGCATGAAGTTCATCGAAGAGCCGAGGGCCAACCTTCGGCGTGGGAGGATCCGAATTTTGGTGAGAATCACCGCGCTCGACCTTTCGATCGGCCCGCGAAGGTCGTTCTCTCGATCACCGTGTGCCGTACGTTGTTCTATCGTCTGGCATTCGTTACATCAGTAATTTAATTCTGCCACTCTTTGTCCCTCCCTCTCTCTCTCTCTCTCTCCCTCTGTCTCTCTTTCTTTCTCTGTTATATCCACTAGTACTCTCTCCCGGCGTGGCAGAAACAGAGCGGCGACCTTGACGCCGGGGGAATATACGCGTTCTGGTTAACACGCTCGTTTCTGACATAACGGCCCCTGAGAATCGGATACCAGCCACCGGATAACGAAGTTCTGTTCGCGGAATGACTCAGACGAACGCTACGTAAGTTAGCGAGAACCGTGATTCCGGATCTGTGATTCCATTCGCCGCGGCATTTCTGTTTCCTATGTTTCTGTTCCTCTCTCTCTCTCTCTTTGCACGCTTCAGAGACATTTCGGAAACGTTGCGTTACAACAACATTTTCGATCATTGCGAGCTGCGTTGAGGGCCATTCTTACAGTTTCGCTTTCTGTCTTCCGTTTTTAGTGAAATTTCATCGAAGTTTTAAGGGGGCAGGACAGTTCGACGAGCCTAAAAATTACAAATACTTTGGAGAGTTAGTAAAAAAGAAAAGTACATATTTGATTGACATGAGCTTTTGTGGTTTATTATGAACTATAAGAAGCAACATTAAAAAAGAAAGAAAAAGAGGGCTCTTATTTAATTTTTTAACTTTTCATCCTTTTATAAAACTTTTCTTTTGCATTGCTTATCGGTGTGCATGATTCCAACCAAATAGGATTAGTTGCAACAAAAAGGCAGAAAAAGTTCAAAAGTTCAAAAGCAATATTCTCTAGAGATTAACGATCCAACATTTTCATTTTTGTGAAAATTATAAAAATAGCAGCTATTTGTTTTTGATGTATTGAATTTATGCCAAAAATTTCTAGGTTTTTTGTTTATATTTTTCGAGATTGTTAGAAATTAAAAAATGTTCGATCGTCAATCCCTAGTAAATGTTACACTAAAGATACGTACCAAGTTTCATAATAATCGGTTGGTTAGATTCCGAGATATCTTGCACACCGTTTCTAAAAACCTAGTTTTCGAAAGAAACGCATTTAAAGTTTCAGAACGTTATTTTTTCATATGTATCCTTTACTTACTTTTGTTACTTATATATCGCGGCTCACAGTTCTTACAATTCACAACTAAATTGAATCCAAGTCCCCTAATATTCGATTCACCAAATGTAATATTTGACTCGCACGATTTACACTTTATAATACTGCTTAAAGTTGTAAACAGTGATACAAATTCAATTATTCTGTATCCGCGGATTTATTATTACACCCCAATTAAACTGTTTTAAAAGACCTTTTGTATCTTATTTCTAAGACGTCAAACTACTATTTAACACAAAACAAAACGATCGATTTTTTGAAAATTTCAAACTGTCCTGACCTCTTAATCCAATCAACAATTAACAAACGAGATGATGAAAAATACACGAGTTTCAGCTCACAATCAGGAGTTTCAGTTTTTTTGAAACTCGAAGAAGCTTGTTGCAACTTTCAAATGTAGAGGAAAACTTACTTTTAAACCGCTGAACGATATAAACGATTTACGACCATTTGTTTGTTAAACCACTGGATAAATGCAACGTCAAGTTTGATTGTTACTTTTAGTCCACGATAGAACGCAGAATTAGCTTCGAGATCTATGTTTAACTCGACGCTTACGATTATTGATGGAAGTGCCAGGCCTGTGTATTTTATTTATTTTGTTAAACGTGGCTTGGAACGTGCAACGTCTATTTGAAGAATTAAAGTTGAAATTGCTACAAACTATTCTTCAATCTCGAATGCTCAATCGAAATTTATTTCAGAATGTTTCTTTTGTTCTTTTTATGAACTGTGTGATTTTTTTTTTTTCGCACAATAATCGAGAATTATTTTTGAAGATAAATCTTCGAGAAAAAATCTCTGTTAAACTTATATATGAGCAAGTTTTCATACGTCAACCATACTTTTACCTTGTTGAAATTTCGAAACGTTAGCGTAAGCTTCGTTTATTTCGTAAACACGTTCACCAACAACGAGATGAATTCTAATGGGAACGGTTTAAACGAACATTCACGGCTATTCGAAAGCAACTAACAACGCGTGTGAGAGTGTTGCTTTCAATTCGAGGCCATTTCACCTGAAACGTTATTTGGCCAACTCTTTGTCAAGATATCAGTCGCGAACTTGAACGCCACGTTCTGAATAGAATGGCGATAAAATCGCGAAACGCTTTGCTATTTAGATTTTCCATTTGATCCTTTAACCTTTCAACCACTGGTTGCGCGTGTCGAGTACCTGTTTAGTGTACGCGAGATCAAAGATCAAAATTTCTCGCAAGTAATAATGCAAAATTGTTGAAGTTGTTTCAATCCTTGATCAATCTTACTATCTTAATACCAAATCAGAGTAATTCTTTACGGGGAAACATTTGCTTGATTCCTATTCTCATTTTTATTAATTATAATCCTTCGACTGGTAGTTTTTGAAAGACTACTAACATGAAGGTGTAAGGTTTCATTATTATCTTCAAGTTTCAAAATTTATCCGTCTCTCAATTTTTCAACAATTATATTCCTATCCATTTTGATCTTCGTTAATTAAATCTCTCAACTGTGAGTAATTAGAAGCAACGTTTCATCTGCCTTTCTCGGAAATATAATGAAAGTTTTAACACTCATCCGTTTCTTAGTTTCTCAGTTTTAAATTGAATAAAATTTCAAGATTCTTTCTTGTTCTCATACTCGTTAATTAGACCCTTCAATTGCATGTAATTTGAAACGTTTTACTAATGTGCGTTTGTTGCTTCTTGATCAAAGATATATATTCAAGTATCAACCTTCGTCCCTTGTCTTAACATGAATGATTCGATAGAAATTTAGTTTATTGCTAATAACAAAATCTTTACATTCAACTGTTTATCTTCTATACTAACTTTTTCCCATTGCGTTAATCCCTTGTCCAATTCTTTTCTCCAGGCGTGTCGTTCCAAAAATCGTCGACGTTTCTCACGTCTGTTTTGTAACGTGATTTGTAAACTCGTGATTTCTCTGTTTCCACTCGGATTAATTAGCCAAGGTGCTAATTTGACCGAAGACGAGGCAAACTGTCTTTGATATCCACTCTTTCACATTTACGCTTTTATTTCTTCCTCCGTATAAAATTCAAAATTACTGCTAAAAAAAAAAAAAAAAAAGAAAAAAAAAGAAACTGCCAAAGCAGTCAAAAACCAATTCGTAATTTCTCTTTAGAAATTTTATGGACGTAAAACGGCCATTATTTTCAGAGATTCGAATGATTGTTCATAAAATACATACATAAATGAAAGCTCGCGGTGTTTGTTCAACATCGCAAAACTTTCCACATTAATTTCTCCAAACAGAAACTCTAAATTCTGCTTCAGTCGTCGATGGTGTTTCCACCGTTTTACTTTCGTCTCTCTTCTCGGAGTCTCTCCCATTTTTACGAAATGAAATTCATAAAGTTCGCCGAACGCAAGCAACGTAAAGTAACAGCGGCGTTACGTGAAAAATCGTCGTCTAACAAGAGCAGATCCTCCTCTTCCCTCTCCCCGCAGCCCCTTATCGCCACGCTAGACGGCGTAACCTCGTTTCACAATAACCCTCGTTCACCGATGCGTCAACATTCCAGGCTCCCAGGGACGATCCCACGAGAGCAGGCACTCGCTGCTCGCTCGCCGGTCACGGGACAGCGTCGCCGACGATATTTCATCTCTGGCGGAAGATAAGCGGCCCGGTGGCGAGTTGACGGACGATAACAGGGGCGCGAAAAGTGCGCTGTCGCCGCCGGTCGAGTTCGAGGACCCGTTCGTGGCCGACGACACGTTCCAAGATCAAGGTCCAGGCTCCGTGGAGATATACAAATTGGACGTGTTCCGGGTGAACTCACTGCTGAGGCCGTCGTCGCCGAGCATAATCACGAGATTCCCCCCCGAGTGGACGAGTAAGAGCAAGAGCAAAGCGCCGAAGAAGACCAATTACGCGAGCTGGAAGTCGAAAACGCCCGACTACGGCAAAGCCAACGGCCTGCTGAACACGCTTCGCAAACAGTCGAACTCGTTCGACGATCTGAGCACGGAGGTCCCTCCGGCGAACACCGACGGATCGTTCGGGATCGGCGGTGTGCCGGAGTTGCAGGTCGGCTGCGAGGGATTGGAAGCCGCGGTGTCGGATCACGACCGAGAGAGACGATCGATAGACTCCACTGTCACTGGAGACAAGAATCCAAAGAGGGAGGGGGTGGATCCCTCGTGGATCGACGTGACTCCGATATCGTTGAACCTGGACTACGAGCTGTCCGGCGAGGAGGGCTACGAGGAGATGGACGAGCTGCTGAAGCTGAAGAAATTGGAGAGCACGACGAAACGGAGCAGGCTGAACAGGGGCGACATGGACGCGACTCTTCATTCGGTGTTCCACGACGGCGAACACAGGGCCGAGAAATTGCCGGTTCGCGGTGACTTGGGCAAGTCTAGAGCGAGCAACGAGTCGTCGGTGTCGTCTGCCGAGCGGCAAAGTAATCGGCAGGTAGAAGAAAAGACGAAGCTGGCTGCTGACGAGGCTTTGCGTTTTAACGAAGGGAAGCGAGACGATTACGCGGCTAGGTCCGATGATGAGACGCCGGCGGGTAATCAACGTCGCAAGATATTATGGCTCGAGGAGCCTGACGTCGAGCAGCAGCTCAAGGGGAACGGGGAACGTCGCGAACGCGATACTTGGGGTTTCGGCGAGGACGAAGGCGTGGTATCTAGCGACGAGTTGCAGACGGAGAATCAGCGGCGAAGACTGGCCTACGAGAGACGGAACATGATCCGTCAGGAGGAATTAAGAAGAAGCGAGGAGCAACGTAGGAGAGCCGAGGAGGCGTTGAGACGGAATCAAATCGAGAATCGAACGAACAACGACATCGAGAGAATTCGTGAGGAATACGACAGAAGATTGAGTGAGAGGGAGAGAGTGGAGGAAGAAAGGAGGCGGCAGTTGCAGCAGTCGAACAGGTGGCAGCTGGACGAGGAGCATAGACGCCGTTTACAGGAGGAAGTATCGAGAAGAAATCGATTGGAGGAGCAACGTCGGACGCAAGAATTGGAGGCCCTCAGAAGACGCGAGACCGTGATACAGAGGCCTGCGTCCGAGGAGGAAAGAAAACAGTGGCAACAGGCGATAATGACGAGAAGACCCGAGGAGGAGGACCGACTGAGGGAGTGGGATGCACGACGAAGGTTCCGTGAGGAAGAGGCGCGTCGTAAATGGGACGAAGAGCTGAGGCGAAGGCAGCAGGAGCAGGACAGAAGAAGTCTGGAAGAGAGAAGAAGAGAGTGGATGCTGAAGCGCAAACAGGAAGAGGAAGAGGCGAGAAGAAGACACCAGCAGAGTAGAAACGAGCCCTCCAACTTGTTACAACCCTCGCGAAGTAGTCCGAACAGTAATAAATCGTACGATCCAGAAACGGAGCGACGAATGAGGGAAGAACAGGAGAGAGAACGTCAGCGAAAGTTGAACGAGTACATTCAACGTAACCGACCGATCAAGGTAAACAGTTCGATAGACCGTGAAAGGGAAGAGGCGAACGAGAGGAGGCAGGAGGAGGAACGACGTAGAGCGGAGGAGCAACGACAAAGACTGGAAGCGGAACGCAAGTTGCAGGACTACGTCCGAAGGAATCAACCGGTGCGCGTTCCGAAATTGAACGAATCGTACGACGAGAACTGGCTGGAGTACAGGAGGAGATTAGACGAGGCGAGGCAACGTAATCAGTCGCGATATACGGGCCCGGGAAGCGGAAGAAGAAATCACGGGCCGTCAGCCCCGACGAATATCGATCCACGGTATTACGTGGACGACGCGAGAAGAGAGGCAGCCCGAAGAATCGAGAAGGAGAAGGAAGAGGAGAGGATCCGCGAGCGACTGAGACAACAAGAGCAGCAAGAGCAGCTAAGGAGATACGCTCTGAGGCGAGAGGAAGAGGCTCGAAGGATGCAATCGAGGAGATACGAGGAGGAACGAAAGAGGCAGGAGGCGGCGAGGTTGGAAGCGGAGAGAAGAGCAAAAGAGCTGCAGGAAGAGGAGGCCAGGAGGAACCTGGCTGGGAGGAGGCCGTTGGAAAATACGAGACCAAGCTATGAGAATCGTAGACGATTCGACGACTACAGAAGGAGACAAGACACGAGTCTTATTCCAGCCAATTTAGTTTCGAACGAGTCCAGGCGAGCCGCGGAGAGACAAAGACAGGAGCAAGAGAAAAGGCGCGACGAGGCTGAAAGGCAAAGGTAAGAGGATACCAAGTAATGAAATGAGCGAAGGGAAAAGATAGAAATTTCGCGACTAGATATTAAATTATAATACAGCGTGCTGACAAATTGCATTAATTCAGCTGGCTTATTTATTAAGACTGGCAGTATTTTACAAAGTATAATTATTGTTTCGATAATGAATTTAGCACATTAGATAGTATTGGAAATATTTTACGTAAGAATTTTTAATTCCCTTTGAAAATTTTATTACAGATATATATATATATAATTTATATCACGTGAAATTAAGGGTTTAAAGTCTCTTCTGAAACGATTTTCTAAAAATTCCAATATGTCATTTGATGCTTCAAGCTGTTGTAAAATTCGCATATAGCGTGGAAAAGAGGATTCTAATTCGTGGTCTCGATAAACGTCACACTCTGAGTTAGTGAGCTATATGGAGAATATTTCGTGACTCCATAGATTCTCCTCGACGATAAATACTGCAGACAGAACCCACACACGTCGGCCCTCTTGCTAATATTTATGATACCACGGCCACCCTACAACCTTAAACCTTGAGTTTCAGAATGTTCTCGCGGCAATATATCATTCCTTCTCCTGAAATTGTTCTTCTATCGTTTTCGCTGCAGAGCTTAACGATGCCTACCAAGTCTACTTTCAACGCAACAATCATTCTTTACTATTCTTCTCTCGATGAAACGATATTCTTCTTGTACATCGCGATAGAAAATAGAATGCAAAATTATTTCCACTTCATCGATCATTCCATCACGATAACAGGCTAAACGTGACACGCAATGGTGTTTGCTATTTGCTCGAAACTTCAGCAAACAATCTCGCGTGCGTGAAACCTAGCATACAGAGACCAGGTTCGCTCTGAATACAGACTGGACAGAATATCAATCATCTATTTTTGAATCGTTCGATCATTAACGAGCTACGCACAGGGGAACAACGTGCACGTGTGTGTTCCATCTCTACTACGTTGTCGCACGCAACGTGTACACAGAGATAAAGGATCTGTCGAGTAAAAATATCGAACGTGCCCAAGAAATTTAAATTTACAGTTCGTACAACGAGTTACAAGTCGCCTTTCATACCTCGACTTGGCTCTAAAACATCGTGTCTTATTGCAATTTCGCTCATTTGCTATTTTCAATGGTAAAACAGACTCTGAGACTTTTCGCGCCTGCCTTATTGGAAATCCAAAGAAACATGTACCTACAACGACGTCGCACACTTCTGTGGGCGAAAGCGTCGAGACCTCCGAGGCATAAAATGCCATTCTTGCATTTGTACGCAATATCCGGCTCAATTGGCACGAACACAAAATATTTCAACTCGGTCTCCGAGTCTACTTCCGGGACACTTTCGATGGGGAGAGACTTCTTTGCCAGAGGTAATGCTGTTCGTCCTCCGCGACCTAGCACCTTCTCCTTTGAGAGACATCTTCCAGCATGAAAAGATGGGAGACAATTTTCGCAAGATCTATGCGCGTGTCATCGCGGCTACCAGGCAAGATAAACACACAGCGAGAAGAGGCTGTCTGACAATTTCGTCGACGGGAAACCTGGTTCGCCTAGCTAGCTAGCTAGCTGGCGGCAGGATGAGTTAACGCGGCGCGGTGCCGAGGAACGTTAATGAAACAAACAGGGTTGCTACTGGTCGCGGCGTGCACAATGAGCTTCCTCTTTCGGCGGTACGTACTGATAGTATAACGTGTCCCCTTATCCTTTGCACGCAGAGCGAGAGAGGCGAGGGAGAAGGAGGAGCACGACAGGGTCATGAAAGAGCATCGGAGACGGCAGGAAGAGGCCAGGCTGAATGCGTTGCCCGTGAGCGCGAGCATAATAGTCCGACCGGCAACGCCAAACCCGTTATCGAGGATAAATATCAATATCCCGGTGAGCCTTCTTCCAGCGTGTTCCACTTTCTGGCGCGCGATTGTTCCGCGCTTTCGATTCGATCCGCAACTTTCGAGAATTGTTTCGCATTATCCGTATCGCGTGTGTATATATATATATATGTATATATATATATATATATATGTCAGGACGCGGTCGAGGATTCGTAATTTCTCAACTGAGGAAACAGACGAGTAAGAGTTGTAGAGTTGTGGGATAATGAATAATATTATGTTATATGATAAATAAATAGTGAATAATATTATATTGTATAATAAATAAATAATATTATTTGTTAATACAATATTATTATTTATTATTTTATATTATTTATTTATTAATCAATGAAACTTATTATTTGTTAATACAATATTATTACTACAATATTATTGTTAATACAATATTATTATTACAATATTATTGTTAATACAATATTATTATTTATTATTTTATAAGTTTCATTGATTATTGACTAGGCAAGACGAGAAGACGAGTGAAACTTGTAGAATAGAATCTTCTCGTATGTGAGTTTCATACTACGAGTAAACGATATTTACTAAAAAATGTAGAATAATAGTAGTGATACACGAGGCACATACAAAATCACATCAATCAACTCTAGAAATATACACATAAAAGAAACCGGCAATTACGAACGTTATTTTTAAAAATTTACCCTCCACGCTATCTCTATTTAGCAAAATAAAATCATTCATAAGAATAACACCTTCGTTCCTTATTAATTATAGTTTTAGTGTTTTTTTATTAACCATTAATTATTTAATATTGATTACGTGATTAAATTGAGAACATAGAAAATGGAATTGATCAGTTTGTATAACAACTAGCAAGGAGTACACTAAAATGACTAATAAATATAATTATTCCCATAAAAGTTCAATGTAACTAGAGCTTTATTGGAACTTTCCGCAATATTATTGGGATATCGTATTCCAGCAAATGAAACCGAAACGGTTATATTTCTGTTCTATTTAATGTATCTGCACACGTAGGTTTCCGAAACGAGCGTCATTATCGTTGATATCGATTGGTAACTAGAGCTCGAGATCGTTAAACGCGGAATAATTACGCGTTCTATATGATATCCCCGTAAGTAAGTAATTTATAGTATAATATTCGCATTTCGAATTATTCTAACTGGAGTAAATAAAGGTACATAAATTGTTTATTTTTCGATTGAAAATAATTATAAATTGTGGAATGTAACTTTAGGACCATCAGCGAAATTTTTAATTGTCCATCGTGGTCGCATTTTTCTAATTTAAAAACACGTAAATATAAATTCTTCAGTGGTGGATAATCACGTATCAAATGATCAATGAACAATCATGGTGAAGACATCACTTTGGTAATCCACAGTGCTGCTCTACTTAAAAATTTAATTTCATCGGAATACGACACGATAATGCGAAACTTTCTTCTGGAAATATATCGTTACAGTATAAATTAAAAAGGTTAGAATGTAAGATTGGTAACAATATTTTTTTTTTTTTTTTTTGTTACCAATAATCATTATACAGAATAAAAAATTTTCTTTGTTACGATCATTGTGAATCCTCATAACTGACAACTGGACTACGGATTTTTGTGTACACGACTGGAGAAATAAAAATTGATATAATTTATTATACTATAATATTATATTAGTATATGCTAAATTATACTAATATTATTAATATTTATTATACTATATATATTATATTATTATAAAAATTAATATAATTATATATTAATAATTTCAATGAAAAATTCATATAATTGTGCATCATGTAGCCTATGTTACAACTACATTATTTCATTCAAATTTCCATTCTTACGAATACAAATAAATAGATAGAATCGTATAAATATATAATACTGTAGTATATACATATATATAGTACTGTGTCTTGAAGTTTATCTTCAATTTCTTTTTTTTTTCTTTCTTGAAGTTTGATTATTAAGATTGAATATACGTAATAATTACACGCACGAGGTACAGTGCACAAAAATCCTAGTCTGAAAATAATTACTTCGTCGAGTATAGAAATTTATTTCAAGTCTCTGCCTGTTCACAGCGACTGAACCCGTACGAAGAAGGGATAAAAGTGTCAAACTTTCCAGTGCCACCCACTCGACAACCACCTGTGAAGAGTCCGCCGCCCTGCGTCTGGGCGGTTGTCCACTGTTGCCCGTCGAAAGTCAATCGTCTAATTACGTGTTTCGAATCCATGGGATGTCCCGGCATCAATTGGGACCCCAGCCCTTGCAGAGCTAGCATCACGCAAGCTGCTAAAAACCAGGTGGCGAAATTTTACGCCGAAACCGAGGACAGGGATGAGTACGACTATCTTTAACGAAAGCCCATAGAACGGGATGATAGAATATAGAACGTGCCAAGTTTCGCGAGGCGGATTGATTGGTCCAGGTACGCTTTGAGTATCGATTCTAGGAGGTTGCCTCGACTAGTTTTTCAAGAAGCTGGAAGGGATTACCGCGAGTGGATCGAATAATATATATAAATCGCTTTAGTAACAACTTTTCTACGCAGGATTAATTGAGCAGAAGTTTTGAATATACAGGGTGGACCATTTAAATAATTAACACCTTCTTTCTGAAGACATGGATGAAATTTGGTTGAGAAAAGTTATTCAATGCCAAGCCAGCCTTGATATGGCAGTAATGACTCTTTTTTATAGATGGAGAGAGGTTTTGGAGATTTTTTCTTTCTTTTTTAGATATATTTTTTCATCCACTAGTCTCTTTTAATAAAAAAAAAAAATTAACTTATGTATGTTGAAAATGAGATAAGATATAAGGAATTAAGTATTTCCTAGAATGCATAGATTAATACTTTCTTATAGCAAGTGGCTACATGTGGATGTATTATTCCATTTAAAAAGAAATTTAAGTGACCTTGAAATCTTCAAAATTCCTCCACTTCTGTTATAAATTTCATGGTACTGATTAACTTTTAGCCACAAAATTTATCCATGTCTCTGAAAACAATGTAGTCTTTTGGGTGATCCCATTTACATAATCCACCTTGTACAATTGATATTAATAATTACTAAGTAATAGCTATATTGATAATTATGAATATTTTTGTCTTAATCGATTCCTTTCTAATCTTAGTATTAGCTCTTCTATAATAAGATTATAATATTTTTTTTATTTAAAAAAAAAGTATATTCTTTCTAGTCTAAATTTGTGTTTATACTGATAAACAGAAATTCTAGAGGAACAGCGGATAAAGAAATTCTCTGCAGATAATTTCACGTTAAGTATTTAGATGTATTAGATGTTTAACGTTAGAATATACGAGAGTATTTCAAATTAGACTTAAGGAGTATTACAATTAATTGTAACTATTATTACAGCAAGCCAAAACTATCGTTGGTCGTTGCAAATACTTCTTCTATGTATCTTAAATAATACAAAATTTTCTTTCAGTCCTTTAACATGACAATAAAAGTATATTTTCTATACTTTTATTCTCTATAGAAATATTATATATTTTTTATTCAAAAATCACATTACTGCAAAAATCTCTTGAATTCGAATTACTTTTTTCTCGATGATCTTAATGTTTGAATGTTGTGTCATCCAACTGCAACATTTCGGTAGAAATTATTGGCAGATGTTTCATTGCAATAATATATAACGATTAGATATTGAGAATGCTCGTAGAATGAGAATTCAATTAAAGGAGGTTATTTTATTTCAGTTTGTACAACTTCTTGGGCTTGTTAAATATAGTAATGTATGCAACGTATATTAGATGTATAATTACGTTAAAATATTGACTTTCTTCGATCCACTCACAGCAGGAAGTAGAGCTCGTGGCACACGATAAGAAGGGCACCAGTTGTGTTCTTCGCATATTCTCGTATTCTTAGCTCGCGAAACAGACAGTCACATTATAGATATATTCGGTATTTTTCTATTCGCTTCTTTAGATCGTCGTAAGCGTTGCATGATCGCCATTTTAAATATAACGAAGCGAGCGATCGCGCCAACACGGTTTCGAAACCGTGCGTCGTGATACCTCCTTGCAAAATCGACGCGACAAATATTCCGCGACGGGTTGCAAGGCGGTTCAAATATTTTTTCCAAATACCGATCGGATCGAAATAAGTGCAATATTGCATTGGGTCCTTCGAACGATTCTTCGAACACATTCAGACAAATACACACTGTCCTAGCTTCTCTTAAACAAAAATAAATTGTACCAGGAAAAGTGAGAGAAGAACTTTATAGAATGTTGAACGTAACAGTGTTCGATCAAAAGGGAATTGCAAATAAAGTATTGCGTTGATTTGATTTCGATTGATTTGACTCAAGCTTTTAAAATTACGTTTGATCAACCTCGTTAAGGACCGAGGAATAACTTTAATTAATTTTTTTAGAATTCTAATCTCTCGAAAGTTGTCAAAATTAGAAAATTCTTGGAATTCTCTTTCCTTCAACTGTAATGTCAAAGATGCTAAGCTGCGAATGACATGTTGTTCAAGTACTTTGGCGTATTTAATAAATTGACGAAAATATCTCGTTGGCCTTTAACGAGTTGATGAAAATATTTCGTTGGACAAATGAGCAATACACAGGGACCATTAGATTGCAATGGAACGAAACGAGAATCGAGATGATTTGCAGATCCGATGAAATTCCGCCGAAGAGGCCGATATTCAGCGGAGAGTAACCCGATCGTTTAGTATTGGACGGTGACGAATTTCGTATTGCGCCGTGACGGTTAGCATGTAAAAGTATAGCTGTAGAGGAAGAGTGAAAGATAGAGAGTGCATGTGCCCGGATGTGTGAGAGAGAAAAGAAAAACGCGACATCTGTTCGCGTCGTGGACGCACGTGCAATTAAGCACGTTGGCTTCGCGTTTAACGAACGTGGAATTATTAACTTTTTCTCTCTCTCTTGCACGTAATCGTTAAGCTATATTACTGCAGCTTTCTCACATGTGATATAATAGATAGGCTCTTAATTCGCTCTTAGCGCAGGGACGTATTTATGTCTGTAACGTAATCGATTATTACGGCGAACAGAGTCGAAAGTTCTTTCGCGATGTGAATGTCGACGATTATACGCGAAGAGCGAAGAAAAAATAAGAAGAGCGTAACTTTAGAAATGACAGAATTTGTTAAAAATTATTTTTGATCAATGTTTATGTAAGTTTAAATTCTCGCGAGTGTAGTGGAAATTCGTATCGGAGAAATTGAAGTTTCAAAGAATTTTCAAAGAAAAAAAAATCTAAATTTCTTGAAAAATTCAAATTTCTCAAATTTGAAATCCGAAGAATAGGACTTCTTACTGTAAATTGTAAATTTTTCATATACACTGCTAGTTCTAGCTAAGCTAGTTGGAGCTAAGTAAAAATTGAACCTAAGTAAAGAGATTCTTTTTTCAGTCATTGATTATTATAGCAATTACTTTAATACTTGGATACTTTACGTATTTCCGCACGTTCAAACAGTTTTCAATGAGTTTCCTTATTCTTTCTTTTGCACTTCGCGGTATGTACGCCCAAAGAAGAAAGTACACAATAGAGAACACTTTGTGAATGTATTACATGACGATAGTGACGTATTTTAGTCGATTACAACATTAGTATTTTTTTCCGCGAACATTAGTATATTTCTCGTTCTGATTCGATACTTTAGAGCAACAGCAACGATGAGATTGATATTTTTCTACTTGACACGTTGCAGAAAAAAGAAAAGAAGAAATATGTAAGAACGCATGCTCGGAGTGGTGAGAAGGTGTTGAGAGATTCTTAGCTCGCTGTAATATATTTAACGTTTAACTCTGTAATATATTATACGTAATGATTCTTTATAAATGCGAATGTCTAACTCAACTTTGAACTTCTTATTTTTAGACCTTTCGTCAAATCAAATAAAACGATGACTCGTCATACATGTACATACGATACAAGTGACTCGCAATATTTCAGATAATTAAATTAATTTGTTCATGATATATTACGTTACTTTGTTCCGTGAAAGCGTAAATTTTAATTCGTATTTTACTCTTGTAAGAATTTTGAAGATATTTCATTTTCAACACTGAAAGTGCTCGAGTACAGACCACTCGATCTCAGAAATTAATTTAATCAGAGTGTGTACTTTGAGATTGTCAATAATTCTCTCTTTTTTTATAGTATTCGGAGAGAGATGTGAAAAGTTTCGTAACATCGGTAATTAAGCAACAAATTTCCTGTTGTATCAACGTGAGGATGCTTCTGCTTATTACAATTGTGCAGAGTTTCAGGTACGTGCATTAAACGAAAAGTTTCCCAGTCGTACTGTACGTGGCTTCGTTCAATTTCCATCGTGCTCATTTGATCTCATGCGATTTGATTATACCTTTGGAATTATTTAAAAAAGAAATTTATTGTAATTGATATTTTTATTAACATGATACAGATTGTTATGCGGAATTACTGCATAATAGACGTGTAGAATATATTGTACTACTTGAATCGTTAATCTCGCGAAGATAATGATTTCTTTTTTTATTTAAAAATCTATTTATAACTGTCGCCACCTGTTAAAATGAAATCATATTTATATTTCTAAGAACTGAAATAAAATCAAGATTGAACAAAGTTAGAATGAATGTAAGATCTGTGTTTCCACAAGGACTAGGACTAAATTAAAATTAAAATGAAATCATATTTATATTTCTAAGAACTGAAATAAAATCAAGATTGAACAAAGTTAGAATGAATGTAAGATCTGTGTTTCCACAAGGACTAGGACTAAATTAAAATTAAAATGAAATCATATTTACATTTCTAAGAACTGAAATAAAATCAAGATTGAACAAAGTTAGAATGAATGTAAGATCTGTGTTTCCACAAGGACTAGGACTAAATTAAAATTAAAATTGAAATTAAAAATTAAAATTGAACGAGGTTGAAATGGAATTGCATTTAGATTTCTAAGGGCGAAACCTGAAATTTATTTCAAATCGAGACACTTGTTGCACGCGCTGAAATCGTGCAACGACGACTTCACTTTACGTAAGTGTGTGCAAACATCGCGATAAAAATATTTCCCTCTCGTGCCTGTATTGAATGAAAACGGCAGCTCTAAGAGGCGACTTATTTTCCTGCTTAATAGAAAAGCGTGAAAGTGCTCGCGGATAGATACTCAGCGTGGCGAAAATTCTTGAAATTCCTCGTCTCCATTCGAGCGAGTAGAATAATCCCACACCTTATTGGACACGAAATGGGCATTGCCTGTTGAAAAACGACGTGACCAGCAGCTCAAAAAGAAGAATTTGTTTCTGCTTCGGTCCGTCTGACCCGCCGCACCCTTCCTAAAACTATCCTGAACGTGATCGTCCCCCCGGATAACCGATTTCTGTTCAATTCGTAATTTCGTTCCCCGTTTTGGTAGACTTGTCACATCCTGATTACGATCTTCCTCCAACTCGTTCGAGCGTGTTCAGGATTTAATTAATCACTTTGATCGAAGTACGGTGAGTGCTCTAATCCTCTTTTATAATATTCATTAATCCTGCTGTTCTCTGCTCTTCTTCGTCGCGTTGTATCTCTTCTTTTGCAAAACATTATTTATAAGAAATTGTAGAACACAGTAACGATTGTAAAGTTATGTTGGATATGAAATATTTTTAATGTATTTTAAATTTTAATAATATTTAGCGAAATGAAATATTCATTTCGTATCGTTACATTTCATTAATAAAATTATTAATTACGGTTTGTTGAAATATTATTAAAATATATTAGAAAGTAAGAAAAAATATATTAATATATAAGATATTATTAAAATTTATAATAGTATATATTAGTATAATATACTGTAGTATAATACATAATATAATATATTAATATATAAGATATTATTAAAATTTATAATAGTATATATTAGTATAATATACTGTAGTATAATACATAATATAATATATTAATATATAAGATATTATTAAAATTTATAATAGTATATATTAGTATATTATATTAGTATAATACATAATATAATATATTAATATATAAGATATATATAAAATTTATAATAGTTTATAATATTTGGTCTTCAATGTACTTAATTTTATGATCTTTAGTGTATGCCACGCTTTTTATAAATAATGTATTGCAAACGAAGAAGGAAGAAGAATCCGAACGTGTATTATTATTCGAATATCTTTATATTTAAATGTTATATTATCAAGATATGATATTCGTTAATAATTAAACAATCATCTGTTATTAACAGACACTCGTTTTGCATGATATAATATTCGAACGTTCGAAAAATTTACAATATTCATCAGTGTCGCTATTTAATTTCTCAACTTGAAATTTTCCCATATTTCTACTCTCTTCAAATTTAAATAACCGTGACTCTCAAATTATCATTTTCGAGTCTCACTTCTGTTTCGAATAATTTCAAGAAAAATTTCAACTTCCAAAATAAGGAATTATTCCGGAAATAATAGCTTCATAGCTTTTCTTACGCTTGAAAGATTTGTTGCTTCTAAATTCTCAATTCTATGGATTGGGTTTATGGTCGTTCGAAAAGATCTGAAATTCCAAGATTCCTCGGGTACTCGTTACCCTCTGAAACTGGCCAGAGCGAACACCGCAAAAATTCCCGATTGCGACGTTCCACAAACGACGAAGTTCACCGGCATGATCTAATCTCGTCACCCGGTGAAGTTCGTCGTATTCGCTCGATAAACCAATGTCTGGAGTTGGATATCTCGTTTCATCCAGCGCCTCGCGTTTCTGACATACTAATTGCGGAGCAATACTCCGCAACGATAACCGCACAGTTCATAGACGTATCCCTCAGCGGTATAATTACCGTATTTGCATAGAAACCACGGCGCATCGAGCGACGGCGCTGTTTTCACGAAATTATCAAAACTCGTTAGAACTAGCCATCCACCGCCTCCTTATGAAGTCATCGCGCCACAGTGGCCGAAAGAGCGGCCATCTCCTGCTACGAGTTCAATGTTTCAATTTCAACGAATTAGTAATCATAAACTTTGTAGCTAAGAAAAAAAAAATTTTACAACGTACAACGAATTTACGCTGTGGATTTTCATAGTGCGTTTCATAGTAAATTTCAGGAGACGTGAAAACACGATCAAAGAAATGTAGCCTTTTTTTGCAGGTATTCTGTATATTCGATATTTCAAGATGTACAAATATACGAAATACATACGAAAAATAGAGAAAGCTCGTTTGAATAAATTTGTAGTCAGGATACGTTTGTTTAATCGTGTTCATAGAAACTTGAAATTGTACAAAGGCCCATGGCAATCCATAGTCATATGTGTAATATATGTGATTACGAAGCCAAAGTGAAGATTAATAGGGGAAAAGTGTAATTAATATACATATATTATATACTATAATATATTATAATATACTATAAAGTATAATTAATAATATATTATAAATTATATAAATATAATATATAATATATTATATAAATATTATATAAAAGTATAATTAATACATATATTATATACTATAATATACTATTATAATATACTCTTACTATTATATACTATAGTATAAAAGATAATTCTTAATTTTTGTATCATTTCAGAATAAATATCAGAATGTTTTGATCGTGAAATCTCGTTTTGTTTTTAATAATAATGATAATGATTTTTCAACACTACCAGCGTGGTCAATAATTATCGCTGATCTTTTTTTGGAATACGATTTTTTTAAATAATTTTTTATAGTATTATTTAATACAACGCAATACAGAAATGCAAGTTATATATATTCCTGTGTTGCACTTTGATCATCTACAATTTCACTATTAAAATAATTTAATTAAGTAAATATTTGAGTTATATCATAGAAAATAAAAGCTAAATTTCTAAATTGAGAATATTTCCACGCAAAACTTTAATGGCCGTGAAACGTCACTGCGCAATCGCGTGGCACAATTAAAAAGAAGGAGCCCCTCGCCGAAAATTTCCTCGACTTCCGCCTCGGCTTGAAGGAAAGAAACATTCCATCGAAAAGGATAATGCGATTTACTAGTCGTCGTGAAACAACAAGAAATTTCTTTCCAGCTTTCAACGCTTGCAACGGAAAAAAAGAAAAAAGAAAAAAGAAGAAAAAGAGTTAAAGTGTCCGCAGTGGCGACGAAAATCGCCACCGTGCCCAGCTAACTTCCGGCATTTGCATTTGCCTGCCTGTCGTTTTCTTTCCCCACTCGTAATGGCCACGCTCGATAACGAGGACATTCATCGGCGAAGGACCTGCAAACGCTTCCTGTCCAATCAACCGCATTGTTGTTACCACCGAAAAAACCCTTCAACGTCATCATCTTGCCTCGCGACAACAGCGAAAGAGCGATAATTTAGGCGAACATCTTGCACAATCTATTTTCTCCCGACTCGTTAGGCTGTTTGATCATCGTTTCTAACAATTGATCCGAGATGCGTTGATCGCGGCGTTTCATTGTTTTTCGCGAGTGTATCGACTCGTTCATTCAGAATGATGCTTAATTGCGAAGATGATCGAATTGTGGGAAATGTGCGGCGATTCTGTTATCGCGCAATAAACAGTTCAGCAGCCTCGATTATCATCGTCGTGCAGTTTCGGTGTTTTTGGAATCAGATCGTTTTATCGGATGGTCGTGTATTTCACGCAATGAGAACAGTAAAACACTATCGTCAACAGAATTTGTGAATTATTATTAATTGAAATACATATGTTTTACCTGACGGAGATAGGAAGTTAAATAATCGACGCTCACAGTTTTAGTTTCGTTTATTAAATCAAACCGATTGGCCAGTACTCGAAAACTTTATTAATATTAATAATTAATAAAAATTTCAATTTTATAATTAAACCGAATAGCTATTTGCTCTCGTCTATCGCAATTTTAAATTTATAAATATGCTTCAACCCGCTGCGCTGGTAGCTGATTGCGGACCATAACGAGCGACCAAACCGTATACGATAATACGTCGCTTTCTTTTCGAACTCGTCGGGTATGATATCACTGGATAGAAATTAATATTAGAGTAGTAATAGATTTATTATTTGTTTTGCTTGGGTTATACTTAAATATACTTAAAACTGAGGAAATATTTGGAGCAAAAAATTCTCACGTCACTCCAGCGCAAGAGGTTGAACCTTCGAGTTCTGATTCAGTGTACTAATTATTCCGTATGCCGTTAATTGCGATACCATTGAGATAAAATCAAATCTGTCAATGTGAGATCAGAAGTATTTATACGATTCTCTATAACAAATCTAATTTCCTGTGCATTTCAATCGCAGTACCATAGCAGCTACTGGACAAATATCGCAACGAACACGTACATGTATATAAAGGTATTGCATAATAGCGGTCAAAAGGAACGTGACTGCTTGCATCTATAGTTCGACTTCCTAATAGACATCGATTTGTTACAAGCCAAAGCAAACGAGCCTTTCACCGAGCTGACCAACCAGCTGCTGCGCTGCTTTGTATATTACATCGATTGCCAACCGTGTCAATCGCGTTCCCTTGATGTCGCGTCAGTCAAAGATCGGCCTTCCGTAACGAAATTTCACCCCGAGAAAAATAAAACGTTATATTATTCATTATAAAAATGAAGGACTCTTAATATAATTTCCATCAGGAATAAATATTTTCTTTCAAGTGGAAACTTTATCGAGTAATTATAATATAATGAGCGAAATTGCAACCAGGTTAATTTCAATATCTTGATGCCACGTATGTACATATGTCAAAAGCTAATCTTCCTATAAAGATAACGTTACTATCAATTTTATAAGTAAATATCTATTTCGGATCGAATAATTAAATTTTTATTTATGTTATAGGAGAAACGAAATTTCACGTATTGCAAAACTATGTTAATCGCATTTTCCTTGTTAAAAATAATTGGCAAAATTGACATACAGCTTAATTAATTAACTTTAAGAATAAATATAAGAATATATAATATAATAATTAATATAATAATTTTAAGAATATATAAATAATATAAAATATATAATAATATAAAAATAATATACAAACAATATAAAATATATAAAAATAATATATAATATATAATAATATAAAAAATAATATATAAACAATATAAAATATATAATAATATAAAAATAATATATAAATAACATAATAATTTTAAGAACAAATAATTCCTCTCTAGTAGAAAATTCTTCGTTGAATAATTAAATTTTTATTTTTCGTTGTAACCAACGCAAGAAACTTTATATTCCTACAAACTTTTACAGCATGAAACTGAATTTATTACGTTCTATAAAATAACACAGAATAAATGTTGTAATTCTTCGAAGCGACCGATCCGACGGTGGAAAATAAGCAAAGTCATTTAAACAAAAAATGTCCCGACATTCCGCCGCGGCTCTTTTTTCATTATTATTATTATTAGGACGCGCGATCGGATGTGATTAAATTCGACCCTCGGAGAATTTCAAATAATTCACAGAAGGCAGAGGTCTGCGACGTTCTCCGGAGGGTTTTGCGCGTGCAGAAATCCCAATAACGGATCGACAAGAGACAGGTGCGTCTAGGCGAATCGTCTATCCCGGGAATCCCCACGGGGCCGTTGTCCATCTTTCCTTGTCTATCCTCGGTGTACGTTCCTAACCTCGGTTCACCTACGTTTCTCTATTACGCTCCTCCATTACGCCGTGTCCCCTAGTCGTTCGTTACAATTTCTGTACCTTGCACACTTTCCTCGGTTTTTCTCCGACAATTTTCGTGTCTCGAAGGATCTTTTAAATTTTAATTTCGATCGCAAGAGACTACGATCGTTTCGAGTCAATTACAGAGAAGTGCTTAATTTTATTTTACATCCTCTCGTGTAAAACGCAAAGTGGCTGTGAATTGAAATCAAGTAACTAAGAAGATTGAACAATAGAATTCAATTAAATTGAGAACAATCGAACGAGATACTATGGATTTATTTGAAATCGCTTTGTTTCTAGATAAATTTAGCCGTAGTAGTTAACCACCTCGCTTGTTACTTTTATCTCGAATGAAAGTCTTAATTCTGTACTTTAAAATATATATTAAGATTTAAAAGATTAATAATAGAATAATATATATTAAGATTTAAACGTGGAACATAATGTTCCGCACAAATTTAGTTTGGAACATAATGTGACAAAATGAAGTTTCATTCGTCTATTAATAAAACTGAGAAGTATTGAGAATAATTCAAGATGATTTTAGTACAGAAATTATTCAATATCTGCGTACCGAAATGTTCCAAACTAAATCAAATATCTCGGAAATTAAGTATCTGTACAATGAATCATTACAAGAGTAATTACAATTATGCAAGAGAGTTATCTCTACGTATCTGTACAATGAATCATTACAAGTGTAATTACAATTATGTAACGTATTTTTCACGTCGTGTATTTCCTCCCGTCACACGATGAAAAAAGCAGATCGAACTACAGATCGATAATAACGTGCAATCTCACTCGAAAAGGAACGTTTACTCTCAAGATAAGTATGGATGCCTTCTGCTTCAACGATTCTCCCAGCTATTGTCTTCTTTTCGCTCTTTTTTTTTTTTTTTTTGTTTGACTCTCGAGCCGCAATTTCTCCTGCGTATCTTTCTTCCACCCTCTTTCATCGCTTCAACCCCACCAAGCCTTGCCATCGTAATTCATTCGACACAACGGGGTAAGAAGTCACAATAGACCAGCTCGTTTCACACTTTTGACCGATTCCAGTTAGCTTCGCTTCTTCTTCTTCGTGATTGATTTCATTCGTGATGAATATCCATCTGTTGCGTATTTGTGTGTTACATCACTTTACACGGTTGCATATCGTTTCTTTGGATATCACAGTGAATTAGAATCAAGATTTTCATTTGAAAATAACGCAAGGTTGAGATGATTTTTTCAAATAACGTGACAGGTGAATTTAGTTAAAGGTGGAATTATTCATGCTTCATTTATGAAATGAATTATCATTATTTGTCAAACTTAGTACAATTAACAATAATTTAAATAATAATATAATCATAATTATAGTATATTATGATATAATTATATAAATTATCATTACAATATAGTTATTTGAGAACAATACCCGTTTGAGAAATAAATTAATAAGAAGCTTGCTAAATTATACGAATCACGGCACCTCGTTCACCAAATGAATTATTAATTTCCAATTAACTTATTTTTCAATTTATTCAATTCGAATTGTTCGAGAAGAATTTATTCAAACAAATTACAATACCTCGTTCAAAAAGTAAATTATTATTTCCGGAAGTCTGCACAGTTTATAGAACTTAATGCAATTGACAATAATTTAAATAATAATATAATCATAATTATAGTATATTACGATATAATTATATAAATTATATAAATTATCATTACAATATAGTTATTTGAGAACAATACCCGTTTGAGAAATAAATTAATAAGAAGTTTGCTAAATTATATGAATCACGATACCTCGTTTACCAAATAAATTATTAATTTCCAATTAACTTATTTTTCAAGTTATTCAATTCGAATTGTTCGAGAAGAATTTATTCAAACAAATTACAATACCTCGTTCAAAAAGTAAATTATTATTTCCGGAAGTCTGCACAGTTTATAGAACTTAATGCAATTGACAATAATTTAAATAATAATATAATCATAATTATAGTATATTACGATATAATTATATAAATTATATGAATTATCATTACAATATAGTTATTTGAGAACAATACCCGTTTGAGAAATCAATTAATAAAAAGTTTACTAAATTATACGAATCACGACACCTCGTTCACCAAATGAATTATTAATTTCCAATTAACTTATTTTTCAATTTATTCAATTCGAATTGTTCGAGAAGAATTTATTCAAACAAATTACAATACCTCGTTCGAAAATAGTAAATTATTATTTCCGGAAGTCTCCACAGTTCATAGAACAGAATTTGCTATTGTGATATGTCGTGACACATTATTCACCCCTCCTTTTCAAATTGGATTTTATTTCGCGTAGATATGACTTTTCACTGTCGAGGTACAGCCACATAGATCGAGACGTAATTCTCAATACTCTATATTATTTGCTTCTTGCTCCGACAACCTCTTACTCGTACTACACCGTACTGATCCCAACGCGTGCTGCAGTAGAAGTGGTACGGTCAGTGGCAGACGCTGAGCCAGCGTTCTTTTCGCCGTTATACTACTTGTGGCGTATGCATTTCCAAGAATAAATGGATTTACATTGGTTTCTTAGAATTTCAGTCATTCACACGTCTCGATATCTTAACTATTCACGTCAGATAATGATATCTTTGAACTTACACAATCGGATATCATGTTCAAAGGAAAAGACAGATTATTGGTTCAATAAAAATACAGTTTATTTTTTTTACGAACACACCATAAATTTCTTTTTTATCAAAATTCTTTATCGCAAGAAATTTATGACTGCGTACTAAAAGTTATTTCAAGCAAGTTTCAGTTTATCAATCAGTGGTCAATTCGTTAAATTAAATTATCATCAAAGATTACATTTTTTATTAAATGCTACGTAAATTTCGAGTAAACGAAATCTGTGAAGAGGTTTTACAGAAAGCTGTGTTTAATAAACTTTTATGAAATACGATATAAATGTTGCACGACCCGTTAATTAAGAGATGAAATTGAAGTTTCTAATAAAATGGAATATATGCCAGAAGGTTTTCGTCATTAAAACGAAACGAGCGAGGCTGGGAATCTACAAAGACCTGTGTTTCCCTGTTTATATGATTCAGCAGCACTCATAGAGTGTCTATTGAGCGCAAGCCGTGCCTTCGTTGGATTAAGATTTTCTCTTGTCTCGCCCTGGAACGATGAGGGATAAGTCCAAAGGGATAAGTTTCTGGCATTTACATTCGCGACAAAATCACGGACAAAAGGAACAGATTCTTAAGTACTAATTACCATACCTCTCTTCTCGACCAATTTAACACGTGCAGAGAATTTTTAAGAAACTGAATAATTCAATTCTCTCTGTTGTCTGATTCTACGTCAAGTTTCCCATATATAAACAACAATATGTGCAATTTAATAAGTTTTCGTATAGAATGAATTTCAACGAAGCAGAAATTTCGTGAAAATTATCATTTCATTTATTGGTAAAAAATACATAAACTTAATATTTAAAGGATTTTCACAATGTACTTTGAAGCAATTCAAGAGAAGTATTTTTCAGTTACAAGTTATTCTATTTCTTCAGCCGTCTTCCGAAAAAAAAAATATTTCTTTCTTTCAAACGTATGTAGCTCCTAGAAAATTTCAAATTTCTCTCAATTTTCAAAAAGCGATCGATATCTCTGTAGCGTTCTCGTTTGAGACGAAGCATTCTTCTTCGTTCGATGGTTCACAAAATTCTAATTAATTAATTCGGTTAAAGTTCGAGAGGAGAAGAAAACTGTGCTAATATGTTTGTTACAATTGTCCACAATGTACTTTGAAGCAATTCAAGAGAAGTATTTTTCAGNTTATTTGTTAGGTTTTATTATCTATTATTTATTATTTGTTAGGTTGTTCATTATTTAGGTTTAGTTTTAGGTTTTTATTAATTGCAATTTTCGGTTGAAGTTGAGCTAGGTACTGTTAAGAATTTACACAGTAGGAAAAGTCCGACGATTAGTAATTATTAGACCATAATTATGCACGTGTTTTCGGTTCTTATTATTTGGAATTTATTTGTTAGGTTTTATTATTTAGGTTTTGTTTTAGGTTTTTATTACTTAGAATTTATTTGTTAGGCTTTATTATTTAGGTTTAGTTTTAGTTTTAGTTTTAGGTTTTTATTACTTAGAATTTATTTGTTAGGCTTTATTATTTAGGTTTTTGTTATTTAGAATTTATTATTTAGTTTTTATTATTTATTTAGAATTTATTTATTTATGTTTTTGATCTATGAATTTAGAATTTAGGTTTTCATCATTTGTTATTTTTTATATTTTATTATTTAGAAAATAATAACTATTAGAGACTATTATAACAACTTTGAGAAAATTATAACCATCAGAAAATATTATAATAACTTTCAGAAAATAACAACCATTAGAAAATTATTAGAAAATAATAATCCCTGAGTGAAAATTTTTGTAAAAAGATTAATATTCCAATAAATTTCTATACAATAATCCTTTCGTTGGACATTAATTTAAAATCCAAGTTAAATAGAAATATAATTTGACATAAAATTCTATAGGGTCTTATCGTTTCATTAACATTTTTATTAGAATTTCTAAAATATAATTTGATTTGACAGAGTGCTGAAACACTCTGTACGCAACGTTCAATAAATTACACCCAATTTACAAAATTTAGCAACATTTAGTATTTGATAATATCACATTTATACTGGCACACATGTTCAATCCAACTAAATTATTGGAGTGTAAAATACAAACTGCCATCAAACTATTAACAATTTGATGTGATACTCAGCTGATACTGATTGCATGTTAAGTTCTTTGAGAGTGTCAACCGATAATCCAAATCAAATTGATCGGATAAATATAATATCAATTAAAAGAACGAAGATGTACAACAACAACAAATATAGATTTTTAGTATACTCAAACGACGTAATGGACTTTTATCCAACTTCCACATTTTTATCCTTTTTCTATAAAAAAAAAGACCAGACGTGAAAAAAATTGTTTAATGTCTTTACGTACTATGACATATTTCTAGCATTCTCAAGAAGAAAAGTATCGGCTACATGATGTGAAAATATTTTAAAATAAAACGAAAGATGCATTTCAAACGGAGAGAAACTTTGAACTTTAAAACGAACTCTGGTTTATTGTGCGACTTTTTCTTTACAAGATTGTAACAATTAAATAACAATAATGAGAGTCATCTTCTTATGGCTTTCTCATAATATACCAGTTTTGTGCTATCTAGGAGCCGCGATTTGATTTAAGCGAAAATCGCAGACACGTTTTTCCCACTTAACACGGCAGTGTTCTTTCCTACCACGCGAGAATTTTCTCGTAATTCGACGCGTTATAACACGCGTGAGTAATTCTCGCGAGCGCAATAATCGTTTCGCGTTGTTCTCAGGGACGAAGCCACGCGAAAGACCCGAGAACATTCCCCTGGCAAAAAAAAAAAAAAAAAAAAAAAAAAAAACCACCGCGCCCGGTAAATGAGTGGCCGCGTTTTACGCCGCTGCAATCGAAACTTAATTTAAAAAATATGAATTAGGGAGGAGAGAAGCTTTGCGGTGGCGTTCTTTATCTTCGAAGTGTTTTCGCACCACGTTATAATATTTCACTGTGACGTCCGATGTTCATTCTAAAGAAATTTCGCATGACAAGAAAAATGAACGTGTCTTTATATACTTGTGTACTTTTTCTTTTGTTGTTAGTTTTCTCTTTTGATATCGTCCAATAGGTTCGAGATTCGAAAATATTTGGACACTTTTAATTCTGTTAATTAGGACATTCGATGAAATGAAAATTCTCGGACGAATTCGCGAGATGTTTCAAAATTAATAATCGCGATCGGAAAGTCGAATCGTGTTTAATTAAATTCCCATTGTAATTGATAGAGTGAAATTTGAATAGGATGAGATTGCAACATGCCACGGTAAATAATTTATTAATAATATACAATTATTTAAATATACATTATTTGTAATACATGTAACTTATAATGCACAAATATAGAGTTTATGAATAATTTATAAATTATTACAAACGAGATAAATGGAGATTAACAACAAAATTATTAGAAACCAATAGCTTAATATTGAAAACGTCAACAAATTGTTTGAACAACAATATCGTTTGAATATGTTTCAGCAGATAAACAAAAAGTCTTAAACTACTCTCATTAGTTTGATTAGTAACATTAACCTTAATATCTTGTAATGCACTATTAATTTATTATCATTGTAATATTAATTTATTACTTATTATTTCGATATTAATTTACAATTTTATTATTTCCTTAAAATATTTCATTTAATCATTTCAATACTTTTCAACAACTAAAAGATACATCAACTAAACGTATACAAAACGTATACAAAATTACCTCTTCCATTTCCATTTAATTCTCAACAAATCACCATCGTCATTCTCCGTGCAAAGAAGAATTTAATGGAAAAGAACACCAGATAGGTATTTCATATTGCGTTTCTCCTTTGTTCCTTGGGCGGTGTGATGTTTTTCAAATCGAGAAATAATTGTTTAATTGCCGCGTGCTTCCGCCCATTGACCGACGCGATTAGAGTTCAATTAAAAATTTAATGGATCGCAGAGTCCCGATTGATTAAAAGTCCCGTGCCCGCGAGTATTACACGCGGTTTAGTTCTCCCTTGTCTCAAACAATTTCCCTCGATGCAAGCAACTCCGCTTCTGGGATTCTCATAATTTAATTTCAGCCGGTTGAATGCTTTATCGTGCCTGGATATTAGAATCCACCGGAGACAGCGTTGTAGTCAACAAATTTCCACGTGCAACCGTGTCTAGAGCCGTGTTCACAATGGTTTTAGCGTCATTCGCTCCCGTGAAAGAGGGAGAGAATGAAAAAAATGTGGGAACGCTTCCACGTCAATTGGACTTTTCTATTCAATTATTATTAAAAGCCTTTTGAGAGTTATTAAATAAAATTTAATAATAATAATCTTAAATAAAATATACTGATTTAGAGAAAATTGAATTTTAACAAACAATTGAGTTTAATAAACAATATTTAGGATTTAAGGGATCAAACTAGAAATTGAACTGACAATCTCGTGTATAATATTGATAATATTTAATATTTATTATTTTGTTTGTCTGACAGACATGTTTAATAATTATTGGTAAATCCCACTACTAATAAATTTCACAACGAATTGAAATGAAATTTTATAAATTTCAAAGTGAATTTTATCGAAATTAGTAGAGTATTAAGTATCAAAAGAATTCTGAAACGTTGACGCTACTATTTTCGTGCAACATAAAAATAATAATTTAATAATATTTAAAAGTAATAATTTAATAATATTTAAAAATAATAATTTAATAATATTTAAAAATAATAATTTAATAATATTTAAAACAATAAATTTTAGAAATTACTAATCAGTTATTAATAGTATAGTATATTTACAACTATATATGCTTCGTAAGTCTCAACAAAGGGATTACGAACTGCTCAAAATTTGCGTTGCACGTAAAACTTTGCTACTCAAAATTTAAAGACGGAGATTTATGCCTCAAAGATGAATCTCGCCGATTGAAACTCTCGCAAGTTGTAAAGTAGC